CCGAGACCTGCCAATATAAATAGAAGACCTGTGACCTCGATCGGGCTCGCTCATTCTCTTTCACGCCCGATAAAACACCAAACCCTATTCTCGTATATTTTTCACTCGTTCTTTCACCTTTCCTTCATCGTTTTTTATTGGGAACAATAATTTGCACTCAGATTTTATTGTTGCTTTTGGATTCAATCGTGTTTATCGAATTCAACTTTGAGAATTTTCAGTCGTAAGAATTTCTTTTATCTTTACCATTAAATATGAATTCTTTGATTGAGATGATCATTCTTGTTGATAATTCGAGCATGAGTAGGTAAATCTTTATGCTAGGGATTAGGAGATCAATGCTTTGAATTTGTTCGTGATTGTCGGGCTCAAGATTGTTCAATTTATGCGATTCATGCTTAATTAAGGTTTTCGATTTATGCTTGAATGTTGAGAATTATTGAAGGAGTGACACTTCAATTTACAATTGCTTGTTGATTGAATTTGATTCTTTCTTGCGTGATTTTGTTAACCCGATATCGACTAGTTGATTAACCATCTTCTAAGATTATTTAATCGGCTCTTAGAACCGAAAGGGGAGGAGTCGGTCGAAATAGATTCGCATGAACTAGGCTTGTTCGTAACTGTATTGCCTAGGAGTTAATTTGCCATTCTGGTTTATTCTCTTGTTATGAATAATTATTGGGAATGAATGCTTGATCTGGTAGATTATTCGAATTTCTTAGCTGAACAATCGCTTGTCTGTTAGTTGCATATCGAACCAAAGCGGGAATCCCGACTCCCTAGCTTCTTAATCCTTATTTGTTCTACGTGATCGTTTGCTATTTACTTGCTTTATTTTATTTATTCGCAGTAGTTTGTAATAAAAACCATCCAAACTTTGAATTAGTATGTTTAGGATTTTTATTTCTTTCATTCGTGTGTGAATAAACGTGCTTAATATTCCCGCTGACCTTCTTTGTGATACGACCCGGGGAACGAATCTTTCGATTCTACTCCGGTAAAAATATTTACAACAATTAATATTTCGAACCTTTAGTTTTGTAAGGTATTATTTTCTTTTTGTTGGTAGTTAGCTAATGATTTTATAAAGCATTAGTCAATCAACTTCCATAATTGACTATCTATGTTTCAGTAATGCTAAGGAACCAACTGTTGGCTCCTTAACATCATTGATCTATGTTTATAGTGAAGTGTTTATGGTAATAACATTCTCTCCTACAACTCATCAATCGCCCACTAGTCGCTTCACTTTCAAAACAAATTCCGACGACATAGAAGGTAAAGAAAACTAAAATGCAGAAAAAGGCGAGTCATGGTATTCTGATTTTGAAGACGGAATTAAAAGCGAAGGAGATGAAATTGAAGAATTTTTCAATGATGAACCCAAATATGTAACTTATTATTTTTTTGTATTAAAAAATAAATATATTCGTTAAAATTAATCTATATAATATACACGGGTCAACGTGCTGATGTGCAGTGGCGGATGTAGCATATGACTAGCGTGGGCCGAGGCCCACACTGAATAATATAACGTGAACATACAGATGGTCTCAATAAAATAAAAAGGTGTCCATTAAACATGACCAAGAAGAAAATTATATTTGTCTTTAAATAAAATGGAGAGATATTGCACATTTTTATTAGTGTGTATTTAGTCATTGTTCTATAATACATAGCTGCGATTGGTTTGTGTATGGCTAATAATTTAATCTTTTATGGCTATACACTTTCTTATATTTTTTTGGTTATAAATGAAATGCTCTTATTAAGAAGAGTTTTTATTTTTTTATTTTTTTATTTTTCTCAAATTATTAAGAAGAGTTGTTGAAAGTGTTGTTAAAAGTAAAAATGCAAGTAATTAGTATATTTTTTATATTTAAATTAATTTATTAATGTTGTTAGAATATATTTTGTATATATATTGTAGGATTAGATTTAGGCTCATTATGTTCCTATATATATGTGTACATGTCTTTTGAATAATATAGAATATATTTTTCCCAAATTCAAACATGGTATCAGACTAGGTTTAAGGTCCCAAATAGAGTTTTGGTTCGTCGATCTTCTACAGTGGCCACCGGTTCTCACCTCCCATACCATCGGGTCCGCCGTCTCGAGACGAGTCTTCGCTGACCGGAACCACCCAGATCGGCCGCGCGTGCAGCTCCCACGCGCCGACTTTGTCCGGCAGCGCCGCGAGCTTCCGGCGGCGCATGTGGTTCACCTACTCAGCCGTTTGCCGCCGCCTTTCAGCCGCCGACTCCTGTCGACGTCAGCTACCTTGTGGTGTGCTCGGATTTGGTATTCGTGAACTTTTTAATTTCGGCCTTTTATTGCTATTTTATCCGGTTTGTGATCCAGTTCGTGATTTTCTTTTGTCTTCGTACTGTTGCTGGTTGCTGGTGCTTCTTTATTTTTTGGATATGGATTCTTCTATGGTGGTCTGCCACATTTGCCATGTTCAGGGTCATATTGCTCCATTTTTTCCTACGGTGGTATGCCACATTTGCCATGTTCGGGGTCATATTGCTACATATTGTCCAACCAGATCACACCGTTCGAGAGGTTCATTCTCTCGACATCATGGGTCTTCCTCTACCGCCACTTCTTCTGTTACAGCGGCTGTCACTACTGAGCCTCAGCATTCGTCTTACACTCTTCAAGACATAGAGGCTATTCTCAAACAGGTTCTTCTTTCCAATTCCTCTATGTCTGCTACCGGAGGTAAATCACATTGGTATTTTGATTCTGGTTGTTGCAATCACATGACCTCTAGCCCGCAGCTTTTGTCTTCCTCGTCTTCCGTAACCTCTTTACCTCCTATACATACTGCTAATGGTACTCTTATGAATGTTACTCACACTGGTTTTATTTCTTCCCCTTCCTTGCATCTTCCCGACACATACTGCATTCCTGACTTGGCCTTGAATCTTATTTTTGTTGGTCAATTGGTTGACCAAGGTCTTAATGTTATATTTTCATCTTCTGGTGTTCAGGTTCAGGATTCACAGACGGGACAACTTCTCGGGAAAGGTCGCAAGACGGGCCGGTTATTTGAGCTTGAGTCACTTCATGTCCCTCGTTCCTACGCTTTTTCTGCTTCTGCCACCGATAGTAAGTCTAGTTTCCAGTGGCATCTTCGTCTTGGGCATGCGTCTTCGAATAAAGTTCATTCTTTATATAATAAGGGTCTTTTGAGTTCAGGTCATTTTGAGTCTTTTAGTTGTCTTCATTGCAAACTTGGGAAACAACCGGCTCTTTCTTTTTCTGATAGTTTGTCAACTGCAGATAAACCTTTTGGTTTGGTACATTCTGATATTTGGGGTCCTTCTCCTGTTGCTTCTCTGAGTGGTTTTCGGTATTTTGTTATTTTTGTTGATGATTTTTCTCGTTTTACCTGGATCTATTTTCTCAAAAATCGTTCTGAGTTGTCCAGCATATATGTTAAATTTGCTAAAATGATTCTTACACAATTTTCTTGTCCTATAAAGGTCTTGCGTACTGACAATGCTCTTGAGTACAAAGATTCTACTTTTTTGAAATTTCTTTCTGATCAGGGTACCTTAGTTCAACGTTCGTGTCCATATACTTCCCAACAAAATGGACGAGCTGAACGTAAGCACCGTCACATTCTTGATACTGTTCGTGCTCTTCTTATTTCTGCTCAGTGTCCTGATCGTTTTTGGGGTGAGGCAGCCTTGACTGCTGTTTATGCTATCAATCGGTTACCCTCATCAGTCATTAGGGATGTCAGTCCTTTTGAGAGGTTGTACGGTCAGTCTCCTGATTATACTCAGTTACGTCCTTTTGGTTGTGCTTGCTTTGTTCTCCTTCCGTCCCATGAGCGGACAAAATTAGAACCCCGAGCTCATCTGTGTTGTTTTTTGGGTTATGGGGTAGAACACAAAGGATTTAGGTGTTGGGATCCGATTTCTAATAGGTTGCGTATCTCGCGTCATGTTACCTTTTGGGAGCATACTACTTTTTCCTCCTTGTCTAAGTTCCACATTCCGTTTGATTCGGCGTCTCCTTTATTCATGTCTATTACTTCAGATCTTTTTCCAGATACAGATACAGGTTCTGACTCTCAGCTAGTTGACACGCCTGTCATGCCTCCGTCTTCTGAAATGGCTCCACCTGTGCATCCTGAACCGACGGTTCGTAATGAGCCCTCTTCTGTTTCTGTACTTTTGCCAGCTATTGATCAGCGACGGTCGACTCGTGTAAGTCGTCCCCCTTCTCACTTACTTGATTATCATTGTTATTCGGCCATATTATCTCATCATGAGCCTCGGTCTTTTTGTGAGGCGAGTATTGATCCATTGTGGCAACAAGCTTGCAGGCCTTAGACAAGACTCATACTTGGGATCTAGTTGATCTACCTGCTGGCAAGAAACCCATCAGATGCAAATGGGTTTACAAGATCAAAACAAATTCAGATGGGTCTATTGAGCGCTACAAAGCTCGTCTTGTTGCTAAGGGGTACTCACAGGAGTATGGCATAGATTATGAAGAGACATTTGCACCGGTTGCTCGTCTTACAACTGTACGCTGTTTACTTGCAGTTGCTGCAGTTCGTCGATGGTCTCTTTTACAGTTAGATGTTAAGAATGCCTTCTTGCACGGTGCATTATCTTAGGAGGTTTACATGACTCCTCCTCCTGGGTTCTTGTCCTCTGGGAAGGTTTGTCGTCTGCGCCGAGCTTTGTATGGCTTGAAACAAGCGCCTCGTGCCTGGTACGCCACGTTCAGTTCTGCATTGTTTCAGTTTGGTTTCACTACGAGTGATCACGATTCTGCCCTATTTCTTCGGCGCTCTTCATCTGGGATCATTGTTTTGTTGCTCTATGTTGATGATATGATCATCATGGGGGATGATGTTTCGGGTATTTCCGACTTACAGGATTATCTTCGACAGCATTTTGAGATGAAGAGTTTGGGTCGTCTTCGCTATTTTCTGGGTCTTGAGATTTATGATTCCTCTGATGGCTTCTATTTGTCTCAAGCCAAGTATGCCTCTGATCTTCTTGCTCGGGCCGGTCTCACTGATTGCCAAACAGCTTCCACACCTCTTGATTATGATATTCGTCTTACTCCATTGGATGGTTCTCTTCTTGAGGATCCTACGTTATATCGCCATCTCGTTGGGAGTTTGATATATTTGACTGTCACTCGGCCTGATATAGCTCATGCTGTTCATATTGTGAGTCAGTTTATGGCTGCTCCGAGAACCACACATCATACTGTTGTGTTGCACATCCTTCGCTATGTGAAGGGCACCTTATTGCGTGGTTTACATTTCTCGGCCAGTTCTTCCTTGTCCCTTAGCGGCTACTCTGATGCAGATTGGGCTGGAGATCCTACCGATCGTCGCTCCACTACCGGGTATTGCTTCTTCTTAGGCGATTCACTTGTCTCTTGGCGCAGTAAGAAGCAAACCTTGGTTTCCCGTTCGGGTGCGAGTCTGAGTATCGTGCTCTTGCTGATTCCACCGCAGAGCTATTATGGTTGCGTCGATTACTTGCTGATCTTGGTGTCCCTCAGTCATCCTCTACTGCTCTTCATTGTGATAGCCAGAGCGCTGTCAAGATGTCTCATAATGATACGTTTCATGAGCGTACCAAACATATGTAGTAGTTGATAGGGCAGGCGCTCATGACTATTTAGATTGATTGTCATTTTATTCGCCAGCATGTTACCCATGGGACTGTACGACTTGTTTCTGTCTCCTCTTCGGATCAGATAGCGGATGTCTTCACGAAGTCTCTCCTTCCCGGTCACTTTTGTTTACTTCTTAGCAAACTCAAGTTGATATCTACTATACCACCTTGAGTTTGAGGGGGGATGTTAGAATATATTTTGTATATATATTGTAGGATTAGATTTAGGCTCATTATGTTCCTATATATATGTGTACATGTCTTTTGAATAATATAGAATATATTTTTCTCAAATTCTAACAAATGTGAACACATAAAAAAAAATGGTTATGACTTGTGTACATTTTATTTTAAGGTCCGTATGCGTAAAGCATTGATTTGATTATGGATTTTTTTTGTTCTTATCATGTATAAAAGCCAACCTCCTAGTTATACTTAGAAACAATTACGTTTACTTTTTTTTTTTTTGGAATTTTTGTGAATATAGTAAAAGAGGTGTTTTAGTTATACATTCTAAAAAGAATGATTTCATGCTATAATTTATGTAATAGTTGTAAGTATTATTTTTAAGTTTGAATGTTTTAAATGTATTGAAATGTGTGAGAAAATAGTAAAAGAGGAGTTAAATTATTTCATAATAAGATGTAGAATCAAGCTATGAAAAGTCATATGTAATAATTGTAAATTTTATATGGAAAGTCATATGTAATAATTTGTATTATCGACCATATTTTGGGAAAATTTTAAGTCCTTGCTTTACAACCACTATTACTTCCGGTTTTAGACTCGTTTTTTCCTGCGCTAGGTTCCTCTCTTTCATGAACCTAGCTTATATAATTGTATTTTGAACTATATTTTTTTTCTTATTTTTCTATATTTATTGTGATACTTGTCTTTTACAACCAAATTTTTATAAACCTAGCTTACATAATTGTATTTTGTATAACGCCAAAATTCTATAAAAATTCCTATTTTCGTCATACTTGTCTTTTACATCCAAATTTTTATAAACCTAGCTTACATAATTGTATTTTGTATAACGCCACAATTTTGTTAATAAAAAATAATAAAAAAATAAAAAAATAAAAAAATAATAAAAAGACAATTCTATATAACTACCTGCTCTTCTTAAAACCTAACTTACATAATTGTATTTGGTAGAATGCCACAATTTATATAGAAAAAAAAAAATACAATTCCATTTGCTTTTCTTAATTTTCTTTAGTTATCATTTGTTTTATTCTCTATTATTTTTAACTTACCTTACATACTTGTATTATGTAGAATGCCA